TGCAGTCACTGTGGTCCTTGCTCAGGTTCCCAGGACACAGAAGCATCTCCAGGCCACAAACCTCATGTCCTGGGTCTAGGAGAACCTGGCCTTGATAGAGACCATGGAGCAGTTTGAGAATACTGCCTGGGGCAGAATCTGACAGAATCTCCTGACTGTGTGTAAGGTCTGACAGCTCCAGGAGGGGAGGAACCAGAGATCTTGGGGTGGGATATGTTAAAAGACAATGTGCACCCCAAGAAGCCTGGGTCAGTCCTACAGATGTGCCTGTTGGTAACTCTGATACCTCATGATGTCAAATGTTAATAGTAATTTCAGACAGAAGGAAAACAAGACCCAGACAGCATGACTTGGTGTATTATACTTTTTTCATCAAAAGCAGAGCTTCCCAACTTTTTCATGTTAATGTCCACATGGTAACATTTATTACAGCATAGTGTGTAAACAGAAGAGGCTGCCCTCAACCTCAGAGGCAACTGATCTCAGACCTTGAGCCATCTTGGGGTTTTGAGGGGCTCTTTGTCTCCCCTCTGAGGGGTAAGGGGGAAAATATCTCAACAAACCTATAATTGATTGACAGCTCAAGGGCTGAGAATTTCCGATGTAATGACTCAAAAGGAAATCAGCCTGGTGAGGGTATACCTCAGCAAGCTCAGAAACATTTATGATAGGAAGGTATCAGCTTGTGGATCCCAAGATGCTCACCAGGAGACATTCAGTTGCAGGTGATAATGTCAGAGTAGGGGAGGGTCTCATTAGGCTTTCAGGAAGGTCCACCCCACTCCAGATGCAACAGGAGCAGTCCTCCAAGGTGCCAACCAGGAAATCTCCAGGGACCTTGTCATCCCATCTGGACCTCATCTAACCCATCCAATAAACAACTAGAGGAGAGCATCAGGGCATGCACTCAGTCCCTGCTGTTCCCTCTTGGCCTTTTGGGCTAACTAAATGGGTGAAGGGTCTACTCTAAATGCAATGCTACAGAATTAGACAACCAGATATCAGCTACCCAGACAACTCCAGACGTCATGATAAAAAGCTCTTACACCCACTCTGGGCACTGTCCTGCCCTGACACCTACATACTCTCTGCTTCCTTTAAAATAACCACTTCAAAGGGCCCCTTCCTCACCTCCTGTCAACCTTGATCACATGTCCAAGTTCTACTCCACACTTCAGGGCTTTCTCCTTCAAGTTGGTCTGTTTTGACCTCTTTTCTTCCCAAAATCCTGCTTAATACATTGTCTAAAACTGTGCTTTCATGTATTTTTTACCATGACCCTCAAATTTTTACTGCTTCCCAGAACTTACATACACTTATATTTTGTGTGATTAATTTTGATAGTTTCTCTTCTGCTCTATTTCATTTTTTAATGCTCTGTAATGGGGTGTATGAAATACACTTGTCCAAAACATTCATTTAGGACCCTTACTCATTGTCTTTCATTTGCGTAAGTCTTGTCTCTGTAATAAGATTTCAGATTCCTTAAGAGGGTGGCTTTTTGTCTGCTTCCCATGGGTGCTGTCCGGACTTACCACCCATTAGGTCTAGTGTGCAAAGGCTCAGGAGAATAGGGTAAATTTGCTTTAAAGATGCAATATTTAGATACTTAGAGTGTACTTCATGGCATCATTAATCCTTCCTCCATGTTGTGTGTCAACTGTGGGCTCAAATAGCTGCCCCTTTTATTGACCTGGATGTTTCTGAATCCTCAACTCTACCTCCTGGACTCACCCCTAGATGATTTCTGCCCCCCGCCCCCCACCCCCATGAAGCCTTTTCAGCAGGTGTGGTCTCTGTAGAACACCCTGATCCAGGAGGCTCCTTTTCTCACCTCCAATTAGGTGCCCCTGACCTGGCCCCCTCTCAGCTCTGAAAAGAGTAGCCATGACCTTGTCCAGAAACAAAGGAAATGATAATGTTGATAATACAGAAATGCCTGCATTTTAATACTTTTTTTCAGCAACTTTTACCTGCTCTTTGATTTTCATAAGAACACAATGTTCTAAAAAAGTTCCAAGAAAGAACTTTTTTTAGAGTGACTACAGACAAGGAAGAGAAATCACACTTCAGCATTTGGCTTCAGCCCCTCCCAACTCTGGCTTGGGGTTTCATTTCCACATTTCCCACTAGTCATGTTCATGGGAGACCTTCGTGGAATAGGGTGAGATGACGGATGAAGAGACAGAGGCAAGATGGTGAAAGAGAGCAAGCATGACTAAGTGTTAGGAAACCATGTGGTGACCAACAGGCTCAATTTGACTGGGACTAAGGGGTTTCCCAGGACGTGGGCCTTGTAGTACTAAATCCAGTCAAATTCAGGGCAAGTTGGCCGGTTGGTCACCTAGGACCTCAGCCCAGAGAAAGTGGTAAATGTCGCACCTCCTCTTTCCCTTATTCTTCCTTCCTTCTTCATCAGAAGGCAATAATTGTCTATCTTCCATTTGAAACAGAAGGTCCAAGGCGTGAACTTTGAGGTCCTTGAATCACTCCAAGTTGATAGGGAAGGTGGTTGCCCAAAATGTCTCTGAGATGGAGCTTTGGCATCTCCTCAGCTTAATAAAGCTGATTCTCAGGGCAGCCTACAGGTATCTACCCTGAGATGGCTACTGCGCTCAGAACTCCAGAAACTTCATCACATAACTAGAGCACACGAGTTGCAACTCAGCGTGCCCAGTTCTGTGCACCAGGGAGCATCGCAGAGCGAGAACAGGGATAGCAGAGGTGGCTGGGGATGGATAGAGACCTGCTTTCAGCAATGATTCATCACATTTTGTACTATGTCAGGTTTGGTAGATAACTGTCTCTGTCCAGGCTGAAAAGGTATTGAATTTGGTGTTGAACAGAAGGATAAGGAAAATGGCCACTTCCTAGGTGTCCCAGGTTTCCTGGGGATTTGTTTGTTTGTTTGTTTGTTTGTTTGTTTGTTTTGCAAATCTGAACAGAGGAATAGAGAGGGTGTGGGAAAAGGCACAAAGAGTCTAGTTTTGGAAATACTTTCATATCTGGATATATATGAATTTCTACAGTCCTGCTTTCTGAAAGTAGCTACCTAAGATTATTCTGCTAGCACTAAATGTAACTACAAAGGGAGACATGAGGGAAGAGTTAGAGCATTTAAGTCATATGTTTTGCTCATTTATTCGGTAAGTATTTTTGAGCACTTTATAGGGCTAAATTCTAGCAAGATCCTGACCTGAAGACAGTCCCTGGCCTCTATAAAGCCCACGATCTCATCCAGAAAACTGATAGAGACCAGTTAACACATTTCATCACTGACTCCCTGAGGTCTCTCTGAGCCATAAGAGGAGCCTGGGAACTACTAGAGAAAAAAAAAGATAAGACTTAGAGACCAGAACTCAAAGCGGAGAATCAGTCCTTAGCTGGGGTGCCAGAGCACCCAGTTAAGTGGATAAATATAATGTTTGCGAATAGTTCAAACCACAAGGAAAGAAGAGAGGGAGTTTGAAGATGTCACTAGAACGAAGTTAATTTGCTACATTGATAAGAATGGTTAGCATCGGTGCCCCTCACTGTTTATAAGATTTTGATGTGAACTCTGTCCATCAAATTTTTTAGGGATTCCAGGCAGTTGCTGGGGGAGTACCTGGTCCCCATCTAATAAGGGTGAAATCCTGGTCAGATTACAGCCCACTTCCTGCCCTGCTCTGCTCAATTCACACAAATTATGAGTGCTGACTAGCTTGAAAGTCCTTGAATAATTTAAAAGTGTAAGGACCAATAAAAGTCAAATATAAGGAAAAAACGTTAATTCTCTTTTCTGGGGAAAAAACAAAGTGGAAAAGAATTACCCCTCCCTTCTTAGAGTATTTTATTTAGAAAGCTTGTAAGTGTGAATTCTTTCTCCACTCTTTGTAATGCAATCTTTTTAAAAGCTGTTTGACAGCCCAGGGCTGTCTTTAGAGCACGTGGAAGCCATCCCTTTGAAATGCAAACATCAGGGAAGGTAGCGTCCCCACCTCCCAGTCTCCGTGGGAAAGCAGGGGCCTAATTTAGGAGCCTAACTTAGGTAGGAGCCTGACATCTGCCAGCAACTTTCTGAGTTGTAAATCTTCCTCTTGCCATAGAGGATATGAGAAGTTTCCTTTTCCTCTGGAAAAAGACAATTAGCTAACACAGATGATTACTGAGTGAGTTTAGGATGAACTATGTATGACAAAGGGTACTGTCAAGTCCTCTTACTTGAGTACTAGTTACGATTTAGCTTGAGAACACGTGTGTAATGGGTGGCACCTGCCTGGCTATATGACCAGGTGACATCCCTCTCCATCTTTGCAATCTCTTCCTGGATTGTCTGGGATCCAGATCACATTCTGGTTCAACACACGTTCAATAAAATTGTTTTCTTTCTCTTCTGCCTCTGTGGAGAGGTTTTCTGGGCTGGCAGGGGATTGTTTAAAATTGTTTTACCCATCAACTCTTAGACAATTGTTATGATATGACTGTAAGCTCCACTTCAAATGTCAACAACGAGGGATGTGGGGATTCTCTTGGCCCTGATGGCCCTCTGCCTACGTCCCATTGTGTTCTCCATCTCATAATTGCTTTATGTCCACTGCTCTAATCTTAAATAGCAATCAGCTTTATGTCCACCGCTCTCCCAATCAGTTCAAAAATAGAGGTTCTATCACCCTGCTTTCAACCCTTACCCGATAAACTGACACGTGGACTCCACAAAGTCCCCACAGGGAGGGCTCCATCACGTGGCAGACAGCTTGCCAGAGTAAGTCACAAGCCAAGAGTCAAACCCTGCGAGGGCTTGTTCTGGTCCTCTGTGGACCAGAGTGCCTTTCTGATCCTGGTTAGCGGAAGCTTTCCAGAAGTAGAGCCTGTGAGAAGGGGCCCAAGAGTGCTGGGAGGAGCAGGTGCCCCAGTGATGGGTGCTGAGGGCAGCAGCTGCTGCCCAGAACTTTCCAGTCACCAGGGGCCTTTTCTGAACTTGGAAGTGGGAGAGTCTGTAATTCCCTTCATATTTCCTTCTTCCAAATACTGCTTGCTTGAAACAGTCAAAAATAAAAAGGAAATAGGACGGGGCACACTGTCCCAGGGCAGGCTCATGACAGGAAGTGGCCCGTTAAGGAGGCAGCACATCGCTGCATTCGGCTGGTTTTCAGGGGCTTGTTCCCAATCAGTTTCCAGCCAATACTAGGGTGTCCTAGTCCGCAGGGGTGTGACGGGCACACTCCATAATCTCTACTTTTCTTTTTTTGCAGCTGAGTCATGGAGCTTTCAGCCCCTGCACATGGCTCCTCCTTAACTGCATCTGCTCAGCCTCCCTCAGCCCTGTGAATAGCCTCCCCACACACAGACCACAGAGCAGGGCTCTCTCTGCTGTCACTTCACCTTCCTGAGAGAGGACCAACTGGCCAGAGCCTACATGACCGCCACCCTGGAGGACCGGGCACAGCAGCCATTTCTGGTAAGGAGAACTGGGCTTATGCTCACAGAGACTTGGGAAATCGGAAGGATCACAGTTTGGTCACAGCTGTTCATTTCTGACGTGACCTTGCACAGATCCCCTCACTTCTGGGTTCCCTGGTCAGTAAAACGGGGCAATGGTGGTGAGTGTTGCGGGCATCAGCAGGTGCACAGCTGGTGGAGCACAGCCTAAAGAATCTGCGCCTGCACTCACAGCCCAGTCCCGGGCAGCGGGCTTTGCGCCCCATTGCCCATTACTTAGCCAAGTCGATCTCCATGAAACTCTCAGGGAGTAAGGCTGAACTGATCCTCTCACCAGTGGGACAGATGGGAAAACTGAAGCTCCTAGAGGGTAATAGGCTTTCCCCGTCTCCCCAGCATGCTGGGACATTCTTCTCAATTTTACCCTCCTAATTTCTCCTGTCTCAGACCAGCCAGACACGCACTATGTCTCAGACAAGCCTGGGAGCTGAGGATGGATTCTTAGGGCTCCCCAGGGCAAGTGTAGGATATTTTCCCACCCCAGGAGCCTCATGTTCCAAACAAGACCCCTGAGTGGACCTTTTCTTGTGACTTTCAACTTCTGAAAACTACCCCATGCTCCCCTAGATTTCCCACATTTTTCCTATGAAACCCTGCAGGATGCACTGTAGGGAAACAGGCTCATGTTTGGGGCACCTGCGAACAACCCCTTTGTCAGCCAAACTTTATGTGAGAGACATGCCATGGAACCACAGTGACCAAACCGCAAAACACATCATTCCAATACCTGGAAATATATGGGCTGGGGCAGACGGGTGAAGGAAATACTTATGAACAAAGAAGACAAGAAGTGGTTTGACCTTTTCTAAAATAGTATGGAAGAGGCTGCTTTCTTGTGATTTGCTAAAATAAGCTCTTCTCATGGTAAAATCAGGTTCATGCAATTTTCGAATCAGAACATGCATTTTGTTCATTTGCTTCACCCTTTTCCCTGAGCCGGACCCTCCCACCGGCTTGCCAGAGGCTGCTACTTTCTTGCTTGCACACTGCCTTCCAACCTCTCATGACCTTTGGTCTCATTTGTGGGACTATTGGTAAAATTTTTCCTTTGGAGAAGACATCTGCCTTCATTCTCAATTCCCCCACTTTTGTCTGCCCTGTAGACCAACACGTATCCCTTTCCTTCAAGCCTATGATGTGTCCACCATGCTTTATTCAGTTATTTTATAATCATCTCCATGACTCATTTTAGCATTGCCATCAGTATCCTTTCTGACTCACCTGTGAACACTTTGTTATTTGTTAATATCTGCCAAAAATATATTCCTCAATGCAGCCTGGTCCACTCAGAGAGATTGGATTGGGAGAGCTATTGTTGCTGCTCATTGCCTAACATAACAGAGTTTGACTGACTTTTGTGACAGGTAATTGGCTGTTTTAAAAGGCAAGACCCCAATTCAGAGAAATTCCTGCCACCGACAATTTTATTTTTGAATAACCTTTTATAGGAAATGCACTCAAGATTTTGCAATAAAATTCTGTGTGTTGGTTTTAGGGTAGGCTTCTAGCTGTCCAATTATTTTGTCTCCTGACCAGGGAGTGGCAGCATTGTACACATGTTCCAAGAGGTTTGTTGACTTTTTTGGAACAGTCTCTTTTTCCGCCTATGGAATCAAGGACAATACACAGGCAAAAGGAGCCATTTCTTGATGCTAGCTCTGTTGTAAATATGTGACCTTTGGCAGGTCATTTAATGCTCAGTTTCCTTGCATTTTAATAGAAATTTTAAGACCAGTCTTGATCACATCACAGGAAATTTGAGAGAGCAATTAAAATAAGAAGGATGAAATAAATTTGAAAATGATAAATGTCTGCACAGAGGTTTATTACAATTACGATGTTCATAATCAACATCATTACCACTGTCCTCTTGACCCTTACCACATCATTTTGTTGATTCCAAACCTCAGAAAACGTCATCTAAAGTAGAGAGGTTGTCAGGGAACTGGTGCTGTTTTAGCAAAAGCCAGAAGCATAATTTACCAGAGACAAGAACAGGGTGTGGGAGAGAGAATACTCTTCTCGGGGCTTAAGAAAAAGAAAGAAAGGAGGGAGGGGATGGGGAAGAGGAAAGGAGGAAGAAGAGAAAGAAGGGAAAGGGAGGGAGGCAGGAAGCTGTCTTAATACATTCTGATAATACAAAAATAGATTGATTGACCTAAAGAAGGCCAAGAAAATCCACTGAATGAATAGAAAAATGTGGAAAAGACAGAAATCACAGAAGTTATTAAAAATGGAAGTTTATAAATAGCCAAAATAGCAAACCATGAAAACTGCTTTTAATTTAATGATAATCAGTAAAATATAAGTTTAAGTCAATTAAGACATCCTTATTTTTGCCCATAAGGATGACAGGAAATTAAAAGTGTAATATTACCAAGTGCCTGTCAAGATTTGAGGACTTCCTATAAATGGGTGGTGCAAATAGGAGTTAGCATGACTCCCTGGGAGTCATATTTGGCAATATCCAGTCAGGTGGAAGATATACATCCCCAATGCTGTTACACAATGCTGGAAACTCAGAGCAGGAATGAGTTGTTCTTGAATTTAGCCTGAAGTTGATTCTTTCTCTTCAATCACCTCACTACCTCCTCTCTACCAACCGTCAGGATGGGAAGGCGGTCATACCAGTCCCCCTGCACCATTTCCTCTCACGTCAGTTCTTTGTGTCCCTGATCCCCACTTCCACCCCTCCATTGGAAAGTACCTTGTAATTTCCTCTCCGCCACTGGAATACCCATTTGACACAAAGACTTTCTAGGACTGGAAGTTTCCACTACAAATAAACCAATCTTATTTATAGCAAGGCAATTTTTTCTCTATTCTGGTAAGTTTGCCTAGTGTAATTTCAATTTTTTTTAACATGCACTCTTTGTTCCATAGAAGAATGCTTTCTTCATTTCATGCCTTTCTGGTTGGGGGAGATAATCAACTGATTTGCTTCCAAATATTTCCTGATTTTCTGTTAAGTTGAGGGGAGGGAAGCAATAGTTCACTATTTTAGCATAACCTAACATCACCTGGTTTGCTTAAAGTTATTTACAGATGTTTCAAAGTAAAATATGAGTTAGAAAATTAGTGATGGAAATGGCTCATCTGAGGATAATTATTCTTAGATGTCTGAATTGAGGTGCTCTCAGGCTCTACCAGCTCCCATATGGGCATTTGCTTTTTATCCTTTTCCTATTTTTATTCCAGGAGAGAATGGAAGGATTCCAGAAGGGCAAATATGGAGCTATGGCTGAAGGTAAGAAAGTCTTGAAGTTCTCAAGAGCCCCAGATGCTTGGGAGAATCACAATTCTCTCCCCACTTACCCCCACCTAAAACACAGTGGCAGAAACCCATTCATTTTAAATGAAGAAGATAAAGGCAACCATCATTTTTTACCTCGCCATACCTCTTGTGCCTAATCAAACAATCACACACGCACACACACACACACACACACACACACCCCATAGTGTGATGCTCTCCCTGCACTAGGTGTGTGGGAAATGTGGAAAGGAAACCAAGTCATAAGTTGAAGGGTCTGGAAGCAAATGGTGATTATGTTTTCTCTTTCTTTGTCTGCTAACAGCTCAAAACAAAACAACAAAAAAGGTCGCCATAGGGATTTAGTCGTTGTGCTTGCTACAAAACACCACAGAATAACTTAAGAAAAGGAAGAACCAACCCAGAGTGGGAGGAATAAAATAATAGATTTTTAAGAGCCTAAAGTGCACTTTGAATTCATTTGGGCTCCAGAAATCCGCAGGTTCTCCCCTCTTTGTGCCTTGAAGATTTTAGCTCCTGCCACAGTGTCACCCTCTCCAACACCACTTCTGCTATAATTTCATGTGCTTCCATCAGCCGCATAGATTGGCTTTTCAACACACATGCTTCTATTGAGCTTATGTTCTACCTTTTTGAGCCATCCACCTTAGGGTCGTCTCCCAGACGTTGCCCTAACATTAACTACAACCTACGTCACCTCAATTTCAAACATTTCACTCCCTATCCAGAGCGCACAGACCCAGGGACAGGCAGCTGACCCCCGGCAGGGGTCACTATAGATCTGCCAGTGGAGACCTGCTTGACACTCAAGGCTTGGATGAATGTGTGGAGTGTGTCTATACAAGTGTGCCTGGAAATGTGTGGGTGAAAGAGAAGTAATTGCATTTTCTCACTTATATACTCATCCCCTCCCTCCTTCTAATAATTCTCCATGGATCTGGCCTAAACACCACGCAGGGGAAAACACAAGGACCATTTTATTTCAGGAAAGCTCTATTTGCCACAATCCAGATGAAGTGCTTAATCCATCCCCTTAATGCAACAGTTCTGACTCCTGGCTGTGGATCCAAGCATGGGCTTCCAGTGAGGCTTTTTACATGCAAGATTCACCTACAGTTGTATGCACACTTTTATACACACATCAACATGTCTGTCATTCTGGGGAGGAGGTTCATAGCTTTTATGAGATAACCATGAACAATGACCTAACATTCTTAAGGATCATTAACTTAGTAAGACACAAAACTTCTTTTTCTACAGGTAGATCAGAAGATAACTTGTTTGCAACACCACCGGCATTGAGGATTATCCTAGTGGGCAAAACAGGCTGCGGGAAAAGTGCCACAGGGAACAGCATCCTTGGCCAGCGCGTGTTTGAGTCCAAGCTGGGGGCCCAGTCAGTGACCAGGACGTGCCAGGCAGAAACAGGAACATGGAACGGGAGGAAAGTCTTGGTGGTTGACACGCCCTCCATTTTTGAGTCAAAGGCTGATACCCAAGAGTTGTACAAGAACATTGGGGACTGCTACCTGCTCTCTGCCCCGGGGCCCCACGTGCTGCTTCTGGTGATCCAGCTGGGGCGTTTCACTGCTCAGGACACAGTGGCCATCAGGAAGGTGAAGGAGGTCTTTGGGGCAGGGGCCATGAGACATGTGGTCATCCTCTTCACCCACAAAGAGGACTTAGGGGGCCAGGCCCTGGATGCCTATGTAGCAAACACAGACAACCGCAGCCTGAAGGACCTGGTGCAGGAGTGCGAGAGGAGGTACTGTGCCTTCAACAACCGGGGCTCTGGGGAAGAGCAGAGGCAGCAGCAGGCAGAGCTCCTGGCTGTGATTGAGAGGCTGGGAAGGGAGCGAGAGGGCTCTTTCCACAGCAACAACCTCTTCCTGGATGCCCAGCTGCTCCAAAGAACTGGAGCTGCGACCTGCCAGGAAGACTACAGGCAGTACCTGGCCAAGGTGAAATGGCAGGTGGAGAAGCAGAGGCAAGAGCTGAGGGAGAATGAGAGTAACTGGGCATACAAGGCGCTCCTCAGAGTCAAACACTTGATGCTTTTGCATTATGAGATTTTTGTTTTTCTTTTTTGGTGCAGCATACTTTTTTTAATTATTTTTCTGTTCATCTTTCATTACATTTAAATCTCCGGACCCTGGAGCACTTCTAACGTATCACCCCATGGAGTCATTGTTCTAATAATCACCAATTCATACTCGGATCCTCATGGTCTGTGGAGCACACTGCGTGCTGTCTGTGCAGCTCCCATTTCCCCTTCTACCTTATAGACTTGGAGCTGTGTGCCTCCACTCCAAGACTGCCTGGCTGCTGTAAACATTATCCCACTCTCTCTGCCAATGACTGCTTCAGGAACGGGCCTGAGATCCCATGCAGGTCTATGATAAGTGAGTAAAAGTCTGCAGAGGTGGGGATGGAAGATCTCTCCTTAGATAGAACCTATCTTTGTCCCTGGCATTGTGGGGTCTGGGTGTGACGCTGGGACTGTCAGCAGCTTTGTGCTGCCAACCTGAGGTTGAAGGCAGTACCTCAGAGCAGCACAGAGAGTGGGGCCACCTGAGCCCTGAGCCACCAGCCCTGCAGCCTGCCCCATCTCTGCATTTCCAGTTGTGTTAGCCAATAAATTTCCTACTTATTTAAACTATTTGAGCTCTGGGTCTCTTTTACCTGCGTTTTAAAACATTCAAAGTAATGAAAATTTCTCCACATTCCTTTTTATCCTTTCAATCTGTTGGAACTTCCCAGTCTACATGCTTCCTTTGAGCAAGTGGCATCCAGAATAAAGGAACAGGGTCGGCTTTTCTTGTTCCTAAAATTAGGAAGAACCTCCTGCTCCTACTGAAGTGCTTGCCACAGAGTGGACATTCCCCGAACTCTGAGTAAAGCAAAACGCTTTCAGTTGGATTGCATTGACGAATGGGAGTGGGAAAGGGTCAAGGAAATGGGGTGCCCTCTATGCAGGGCTTTCTCTGTGCTTTCTTCTCAGTTTGGCCAGGGGCCCAAGAGAAACACAGCTCACATTTCAGTGCTCTGCAAGGAATCACTTTGGCAAACGTTCACACATGAGAAAGGTTAACCAAACCCTTTCTCCTTCTCCACTGTAAAATGTCCTTGGATCAGCTCTCCAGCTCTATTTCTTTGGAAGTCGATGTCCACAGGGTTGGGGTGGGGGGCAGGCTGTTGGCTGGGTACCAGGCAATCCTGCTCACCATGAAAGTGCTTCCTTGTTAGCAGAGGGAGTGTGGACCAGGTGACCCGGGAATGGGCCATCCCCCCACTGGAAGGAGGCTACTCTGGCAGCGCCGCTCTGTAATGCTTTCTTAAGATCATGGCTATGTCCATCAAGAGTGCCTCCCTGGAGGGAGGGAGAGCCCAGACAACATCTACTGGACCAGTTTCCGGAGGCTTCAAGGTCACCACACTTATGTGCAGTCTTTGCCTCCCTCAACTCAGCCCACTCCTTCTCTGTGGGGCTTCTGCAGTGAAGGGAGCCACATTTCAAAGTCACCCAGGACAGAGGTGAGTTCCCTCCCAATGTTGTCATCAGTGACCACACCGCGGGGCACCTCCTTAGCTCTCCCGAATCTGTCCTGTCCATCACCACTGCTACTACTGGAGTGCAGGTGCTGATTTCCTCTGAATGTTATCCCTGTCTCCAGGCTTATACTCATACAACCCAGCTGCCTCTTGCTGCCACCTGATCTTCCCAAGATACACCAACCTGCTTAGAAGCCTCTGGCCAGGATTCCAGGAGGCACCCTCGAATCCTGAGAATGAGGCCCAGAATCCCCATCCCCACCCAGCCCCAGCTCCAGCCCCCCATGCACTCCTCCTCCTGTGTGCTGACTCCCATCCCATTCCTTAACTACATGCCCCTCAGCTCCAGTGACTTCCCCCAAGAGCCAAGGATGTTCCCAGTCAGCTTAGCATCTCTCCATCTAGGAAGCCTCTGCAGAGCCTGCCGTGGTCTCCTTCTTGCTGACATTGCTTCCAAAAGAAACCTTCTCCTACAGCCCCACTTTTATGTGCTTTCATTCCTCCACCCCACAGTCTCCTGGGGAGCAGAATCCTGTTATTTTTTATCTTACACTCCTGGTGCCAGGCATTGACCCTGACCCTCAGTACTAACATCATAAATGTCTATGAAGCTGGACTGAATTAAATCAAGCTCATTGGAGCAGTTTGGGAACACTGCATTGAGGAGGTGGTCCTTGGTCTGAGAACTCAGGGTTCCCAGGGTTTAGGGAGCTGGCACACAACACACTCCCTGCACATGTTTGGAATCAGTTCTGTGCTAGAAGATGCAGGAGTCAATGCCATGGAACCAGACATGGAGCTTCATTGCCAGAAGCAGAGCTGGAGGATGCTGCTAAGGGGCATCACAGCCGAGCACCTCAGACTCACCCCAGAGTAGTCACTTGCCCATCCAGCCATGGCCTCTCCAGGACGGCTGCAGGTCTCCCTTACTGAACACAAAGAAGAAGGTGTGGGGGAGGGACCCAGGGACTTCCTCTTCATCTGATTACCTGTTTCCACTGAATTCCCAACCTGCCCATACTTGAGCCCCATGTCTGCCTTCTTCTCTTTACTGCCATTGAGATGGGGACAACCACCCTTTCCTCAAATTCCCACGGACATCACATATCACTGTCCTGGATGGTACTGAGTTTGGGGTTAGAGATGTGGCATTGCAGTGCAGCCCAGCCAACAATGGGAAATCAGTGAAACAGATGACAGCCCTCAGCCGAAATCTGGCCCGCCACCTGTTTTGTACAGCTATGAGCTAAGAGGGGTGTTTACATTTCCAAATGGTTGAAGAAATCAGAATAAAAATAACATTTTATCTTCACACATGAAAACTGCATGAAATTCAGAGTTCAGTGCTCATGAAGTTCTAGGGATCAAAGCCTTGCACATCACTTACAGTCTCATCCATAGTGGCCTTTGTCTATGCAGCAAAGTTGAGATAAGTAGCTGGGACATCTACCATGTAGTCTGCTGAGCACAGGTTTTCTGCTCTCTGGCCCTAAAAACTCCTGCTCCAGGACATCCCAGGTCCTGCATTTCCCAGCTGCTCTCCTTGCTTCCCGCAAGGCAGGCCCCATCTGGCCACTGCAACCCCTTGCTCTCTTTCCCTCAAGTCCAGCCCCTTGTCCTCCAGCCTCCTCCACACCTCCAGGGTCCCCTACTTGGTTCAGCAGATTGACCTTGCCATCCTTGTTTTCTGAGGTGGGGGCAGGGCATCATCTTTTCAGCCTGCGAATAAATCTGAGCATATTTATGAATAAAATAAGGAATTCTGCCAGCAGCTTGTCTCATAGCACATTTCTCCCCTGGACATCAGGAATGCAGAAAGCAGGGCCCAGGGTGAGACATTCTCAGACCCTCGTAGACAAGCACCTTTCTTCCTGCAAGCCACCAAATATTCCATGGCCATACCCAGCCAGTTTATGATTTACACTCACAAGTTAACAAAACAAAACAAAACAAAACAAAACTCGTTTTTCTTTTTCTTTCTTTTTTTTTTTTTTTTTGAAGTAGAGTTTCCCTCTGGTCGTAAGGGCTGGAGTGCAGTGTCTCAATCTCGGCTCACTACAACCTCCACCTCATGGTTCAAGTGATTTTCCAGCTAATTTTTGTATTTTTAGTAGAGACAGGGTTTCACCATGTTGGCCACGTTGGTATCGAACTCCTGACCTCAAGTGATCTGCCCGCCTTGGCCTCCCAAAGTGCTATGATTGCAGGCATGAACCACCACACCCAGCCAATATTTTATTTATCTAAAAGCACTGGATGGAAAATTGATGATATGTCTGTTGCAAGGAAGATAAATTGGGAGTGAAATTCTGTAAAAAGCAAGCAAAGGGTTGTAGACACATAAACAGAGATGGCAACTCTGGGAAAGAAAAAAGGCAGGCTGTAGAAATCACCTAAAATGCTCAGTGTCCACAAGTGATACACAAGTTCATTAAAATGGCAAGAAAAATCAAACCACATGTGATAAAAAGGCAGACATGACAACCTAAGAAAGCATCTGCTCTTTAACTCTGGAGAGCACTTTGCATGGCCAGTTACTCTCATCCTTCCTCAGCTGTCACCTCTGCTTCTCCACCTGCTATTCCACACTGGCCAGGTACTGCCTGTAGTCTTCTTGGCAGGCTCTCTGGAGCAGCTGGGCATCCAGGAAGAGGTCGTTGCTGTGGAAGGAGCCCTCTCGCTCCCTCCCCAGCCTCTTGATCGCAGCCACGAGCTGTGCCCGCTGCTGCCTCTGCTCCTCCACAGCGGCCCAGTTGTTGAAGTTGTAGTATCTCCTCACACACTCCTGCACCAGGTCCTTCAGGCTATGGTTGTCCATGTTTGCTACATAGTCATCCAGGGCCTGGCCCCTAAGACCTCTTTGTGGGTGAAGAGGATGACCACATGCCTCATGGCCCCTGCCCCAAAAACCTCCTTCACCCTCCTAACGGCCACCATGTCCTAAGCAGTGAAACGCCTCAGCTGGATCACCAGAAGCAGCACATGGGGCCCCGGGGCAGACAGCAGGTAGCAGTCCCCAGTGTTCTTGTACAACTCTTGAGTCTGGACCTCTGACTCAAAGATGGAGAGCGTGTCATCCACCAGGACTTTCCTCCTGTTCCATGTTCCTGTCTCCACCTGGCACGTCCTGGTTACTGACTGGCCCCCCAGCTTGGACTCAAACACGAGCTGGCCAAGGATGCTGTTCCCTGTGGCACTTTTCCCTCAGCCTGTTTTGCCCACCGGGGGGATCAGCAGCAGCAGTGATCCTGGAGCCAACCTGCCTTGTCCTCAGCCTGTGAGAGTGGGTGAAGAGTGAGTGTGTAAAAACTGCATTCTGAGGTGGAGGCACCAAAAGACAGAAGGCAAAGGCATCCAGAGGCACTGGCACCCTGGGTCAGTGAGGACTCCGCAGCTCCACTCCCATCCCTGACCCCACGTACAGAGAATGGAGGGACTCACACAGTGTTTGTGGGACTACCCAGCTGGCCAGAGCTCCAGGGCTCTTCCCCTTTGGGACTGCTGAGCTCTGCCCCTTTCTGGCCTTCCTTCGATGCTTCCCACCCTGAGGACCTGGGCTGGGGCCAGGAGGCGGCCATTTTCTCCGCCACTGCGTGGTCCATCTCACGCTTTCTCCCTCTCCCATCCCTAGCTGATCTCTATTTTTCACGATCACAGAGTTTTATTTGGAAAATCTTGTCCTCACTGAAAAGAGGATGGCAGTTAAGAGCTTAATATGCATTTCTGGGGGTAAATGTGTTTTCTTTGTCGTTGGTGAATACAGTCTTGTGCCTTTCACTGCCAGGTGGGAAGTTTGCCCCCCAGTTCTGAGTCTACAACCCTTGACCTTTATAAGAGCTTTACCAAGTGCAGCTCCCTTGCCCGTGCAGAAGGCACCTGCTCCACCCATTCGAAGCCCTTCTATCTTATCCTAGAGGGGAAAACATACATGGATTGTTCACACTGGAGGCGGATGTGATATCCAACACAAAGCATCACATTTTACAGATGAGGAAATTGAGGCAAGAAAAGAAAAGCCTGCTGAGGTCACACATTATTTAAGGGATGAGCTGAGACTAACACCCAGGTCTGCTGACTTCAGGTATTCTCAGCAGTAGCCTGGGCTTGCTGCTGAAGAACATACAGACAGCCCCAAAATGCACCACATGCCTGCGTTTCCCAGCACCTGTATTTAACATATAGGCAGCCCCAGAATGCACCACATACCTGCGTTTCCCAGCACCTGTATTTAGCTAATGGGAGGCGGTGAATGGAAGGCAGGGAAGGCTGATGGATGCTGTCCACCCAGATCAAGAAAGTCAGCAGTCATTTCCAACTGAACATCTGGCTGTCATGTGTTCTTGTCCACTTTTAGGGTCTCAGGGCTGGTACCCAAACTAAAGTGTGCCCGGCAAAGCATCCCCTTTTGATAAACTCACAAAAGAAATTCTCCCCTACGTTTCCATGGTGATGGTGGTGCAAAGGGTGACCAACCATCCTGGTTGGCCCAGGTCTGCGAGGATTCCCTGATTGAAGGACTTTCAGTGCTGAACTGGGAAAGTCCCAGACACACCAAGATGAGTTGCTTACCCCAAGAGTAGGAGATTGTCATGGGTCCAGATTAGGGGTGGGGAGTAGGGGCATGAACATCCAGTAATTGGAGAGAAGAACTGATTTGTTGGGCTCAGATTAATGCCTTATGCTACAGAGGATTGGTGCTTCCCTATTCCTACCTCAGTCTTGGACCAGTCACTACCCCAGGGGCACTTCTCATCAAGCCCCCTCACCTCCTTGCACTGTTCCCACCATACCTTTCCTCCTACCTCCTACCTCCTACTTCCAGTGCTCAGGTAGAAAATCCACCCAGGCCCCACAGAAGAATGACTTCTCAGGCTTCGCTACTATGAAAAACCCATACAACCCTTTCCAAAGCAACATGAGGACCTTGCTGTGTGCAAAGTTTCAGTGCGTTGCCTTGTAACAGGCTCAAGGCATTAATGCTAAAGAGTGAGTCCCTAATTGCAGAATTGCAGAGCCTATGCCTGGTCAATTGAAAAAATACTTTTTGGACTGATGTCATGGCGCTTTAAGGGAAGAAGTTAGTGTTCCACAGGGCCCTGGTACTGAAGATGTGATCCAGGTCACCCCTAACTCTTTCCCACTCACCCAACCCTCTTGCGCCCACCTTTTCCCTCTCTCCTCTAGCAGAATGAAGCATGCAGGCCTGGGTGAAGGAGTACCTCCTGGCAACTCTGGGAACGATGGCTATGCTAATAGTGGGTATAGTGCCTGTGAAGAAAAAAACAAGAGACTCACTGAAAGTCTGAGAAGCAAAGTAACTGTTATAAAATATGTTTCCATTGAAATAGGCCATGAAGTTAAAACCCAAAATAAATTATTAGCTGAAATGGATTCACAATTTGATTCTACAACTGGATTTCTAGGTAAAACTATGGGCAAACTGGAGATTTTATCCATAGGGAGCCAAAAAAAAAAAGCTGCTGGACTCTACAATGCTGTGTTATTTATTTGTCTTTTTTTTGTCATTTATTGGATTAGTAAACTGAGATGATGCAAGTAATTGTGAATTTGGAATTTGTTTCAATTTAATGACTTGGCGTACCGCTTTGATAAAAATCAGCACCAAAACATTCTTAGTTTTCAAACACTATGGCATTTTCCATTGAAAATTGCTGCACGTTTCTTGTTTTATAAATCACGTTAGATAATACAGTGCTCTTTGAATATTGTCTGTTTTTTCTTTTTCTTTTTTTTTATTTTAAATTCTGGGTTACATGTGCAGGATGTGCAGGTTTGTTACATGGGCAAATGTGTGCCATGGTGGTTTGCTGCACCTATCCACCCATCACCATGCCACCTAATAGCCTGGCATGCATTAGCTATTTTTCCTGATGCTCTCCCTCCTCCCACCCCCCCCTCCCCGACAGACCCCCGTGTGTGTTAGTCCCCTCCCTGTGTCTGTGTGTTCTCATTATTCAGCTCCCACTTGTAAGTGAGAACATGTGGTGTTTGGTTTTCTGTTCCTGCATTAGTTTGCTGAGGATAATGGCTTCCAGTTTCATCCATATACCTGCAAAGGACATGCTCTAATTCCTTTTTACGAACGCATAGTAATCCATGGTGTATATGTACCACGTTTTCTTTCTCCAATCTATCACTGATCAGCATTTGGGTTGATCAAATACTGTTTCTTAATGACTTATTTTGGCCCCTGTCTTCAGGGGTAATGAGACTGTGTGGCTCCCCCAATTTCCAAGTTGTTTTTCTATTGCTTGCTAATGATTAAACAGCATTGTAATATTCTGTTGTTATCATAAAAGTAGCTTTATGTCCCATGTAAGGAAACTTTTAGTGAGAGAGTAACAGAATGCCTGAAGAGCCTGACTGTGAGCTCTAGAAGTAGCCAACCAGTTTGTGATAGAATGGTAACTGAATTTTCCCAACTACATCAGCTGTGATGACGTGCTCCCTTTTCCTCCTTTAGTTAGTTAAAATCATAGGCTGATTTCTTTTTAGCTATAATCTTCCTAATAATTTTTTATGATAGTGACCCCTCACTTCTCTATGCCCAAAAACTCATTCTTTAAATAATGCTTGTCATGTTGGCATAGTTCTAATAGGGACCAATGCACATGTGTATCTGTATAGTTATTGTTTTATATTAACTTTATAAATTCTGTTGACTTGGCTTATAACAGTTTTATGATTTTTACTATATAGGTAGAGTTATATATAGATTATCATTTGTGACAGAATAATGTGAAGTTAAGTAATTACTAAACTCTAAATGGAAATAGTATTCAAGAAACTCAGGCACTGAACTTGAAGATAAGAGTACTGTTGCTTTAATCCAGTGTGTTTGCTTATGGAAAGAAAAACAGAAAGGCAGACTCGAGTAAAAAGAAATATTAAAATATTGTTAAAAATTATGTATTACTACTATTTTGGAATTTAACCGTTTATAGATTCCAAAAATAAATTTTCAAATAAAATATTTTTATAAATAAAAAATGCTTTTTGGAATAAATCTATTTTCTAATGTTCCTTAAGATCATGCCACATATGATGGTATCTAGCTCCTTGCCCCCCAACGCAGACACAGTTAAATTGGCCAGTGATTACTTTAGCAGGGAAAATAAATTAATAAATAAATGATTTTGAAATCAATTTCATGGAAGTACTAAATGTCAAAACTCACTTTCTATGAGGTAATTCCCTAGTAATTTCTTTGTAATTGAGCCTGAGGGTATTTTTAACACCAGTACTGCCTCCTGGAATCTCTCTATTCTTTAGCCAGGTCCCATGGAAGCTAATCTAATCTGGTTGCAAAGTCTGTCCCACAGTACACACAATTCAAATAAGAGTTATCCACCCACAGCTCTGATGACACAACTCAAGCCTTGCCTTTACATCCAAGCAAGTGCTGATGTTTTGGATAGAAACCAAAGCACTTTCTGTCATCCTGCAATCTGTGAGAGGGCCCTTCAAACTGAGTGTGATGGTCATTCTTATGTGTCACTTGGCAAGGCCATAGTACACAATGGTCTAACCAAACACTAATCCAGGTGTTGCTATGAGGGTATTTTGCAGATGTGGTTAATGCAAAGTAAGTTACCTTCCGTAACATAGAGGGAAATCACTCAGGCAGTTGAAAGTCTTATGGCAAAAACCGATTTCCCAGAGAAGGAATTCCACCTCAAGACTGCAGTGTCTACTCCTGGCTGAGTGTCCAGCCTGCCCACCTGTACCACAGATTTTGGACATGCCAGCCCCCGAAATCACATGCGCCAATTTCTAGAAATAAATCTCTCACTAGATATATCCTGTTGTTTCTGTTTCTCTGGAGAAACCTGACCGATAGCCAAAGCTGATTATTTCTACTGATACTCAGAGAAAGAGCAAACCTGAACATAAATCTATCTTTTTGGCTGGGCGTGGTGGCTCATCCCTGTAATCCCAGCATTTCGAGAGGCCGAGGCGGATGGATCACCTGAGATCACGAGTTCAAGACCAGCCTGGCCAACATGGTGAAACCCTTTCTCTACTAAAAATACAAAAATTACCCAGGCGTGGTGGTCTATGCCTATAATCCCAGCTACTCAGGAGGCAGAGGGGGGAGAATTGCATGAACCCAGGAAGTGGAGGTTGCAGTGAGCCGAGATTGCAACACTGCACTCCAGACTGGGTGACAGAGTGAGACTCTGTCTCAAAAAAAAAAAAAAAAAAAAACCAAAAAACTCATCTTTCCAAGGAAGATTATTTTCTTTTCAAGAATGATATTTGGGTGGACCTTTTTAAAAGATGTGCTTGCAACTTACAAGGGATGTGAGGGCCTCTTCAAGGAGAACTACAAACCACTACTCAATGAAATAAGAGAAGAACAAATGGAAGAACACTCCATGCTCACGGATAGGAATGATCAATATCGTGAAAATGGTCATACTGCCCAAGGTAATTTATAGATTCATTGTCATCCCCATCAAGCTACTAATGACTTTCTTCACTTTCTTCACAGAATTGGAAAAAACTACTTTAAAGTTCATATGGAACCAAAAAAGACCCCATATTGCCAACATAATCCTAAGCCAAAAGAACAAAGCTGGAGGCATCACACTACCTGACTTCAAAATATACTACAAGGCTACAGTAACCACAACAGCATGGTACTGGGTCCAAAACAGAGATATAGACCAATGGAACAGAACAGAGCCCTCAGAAATAATACCACACATCTACGATCATCTCATCTTTGACAAACTTGACAAAAACAAGAAATGGGGAAAGGATTCCCTATTTAATAAATGGTGCTGGGAAAACTGGCTAGCCACAAATAAAAAGCTGAAACTGGATCCCATCCTCACTATTTATACAAAAATTAATTCAAGATGGATTAGAGACTTAAATGTTAGACCTAAAACCATAAAAACCCTAGAAGAAAACCTAGGAAATACCATTCAGGACATAGGCATGGGCAAGGACTTCATGTCTAAAACACCAAAAGCAATGGCAAAAAAGCCAAAATTGACAAATGGGATCTAATTAAACTAAAGAGCTTCTGCACAGCAAAAGAAACTACCATCAGAGTGAACAGGCAACTTATAGAATGGGAGAAAATTTTTGCAATCTACTCATCTGACAGAGGGTTAATATCCAGAACCTATGAAGAACTCAATCAAATTTACACGAAAAAAAAAACAAACAATGCCATCAAAAAGTAGGCAAAGGATATAAACAGACACTTCTCAAAAGAAGACATTTATGCAGCCAATAGACACATGAGAAAATGCTCATCAGCACTAGCTATCAGAGGAATGCAAATCAAAACTACAATGAGATACCATCTCACACCAGTTAGAATGGCAATCATTAAAAAGTCAGGAAGCAACAGGTGCTGGAGAGGATGTGGAGAAATAGGAACACTTTTACACTGTTGGTGGGACTGTAAACTAGTTCAACCATTGTGGAAGACAGTGTGGCGATTCCTCAAGGATCTAGAACTAGAAATACCATTTGACACAGCCATCCCATTACTGGGTATATACCCAAAGGATTATAAATCATGCTGCTATAAAGACACATGCACACGTATGTTCATTGTGGCACTATTCACAATAGCAAAGACTTGGAACCAACACAAAAATCCATCAATGACAGACTGGATTAAGAAAATGTGGCACGCACTCCACCTCTGGGGACAGGGCATAGCTAAACAAAAAGCAGCAGAAACCTCTGCAGATGTAAATGTCCCTGTCTGACAGCTTTGAAGAGAGCAGTGGTTCTCCCAGCATGGAGGCTGAGATCTGAGAATGGACAGACTGCTTGCTGAAGTGGGTTCCTGACACCTGAGTAGCCTAACTGGGAGACATCCCCCTCTAGGTGCAGACCAACACCTCACGCCTCACACAGCTGGGTACACCTCTGAGACGAAGCTTTCAGATCAAGAATCAGACAGCAACACTCGTTGTTCAGCAATATTCTGTCATCTGCAGCCTCTGCTGCTGATACCCAGGCAAACAGGGTCTGGAGTGGACCTCAAGCAAACTCCAACAGATCTGCAACTGAGGGTCCTGACTGTTAGAAGGAAAACTAACAAACAGAAAGGACACCCACACCAAAACCCCATCAGTACGTCACCATCATCAAAGACCAAAGGCAGATAAAACCAAAAGATGGGGAAAAAGCAGTGCAGAAAAGCTGGAAATTCAAAAAATCAGAGCACATCTGCCCCTCCAAAGGAACACAGCTCATCACCAGCAACGGAACAAAGCTGGACAGAGAATGATTTTAACGAAGTGAGAGAAGAAGGCCTCAGTCGATCAAACTTCTCAGAGCTAGAGGAGGAACTATATACCCAGCACAAAGAAACTAAAAACTTTGAAAAAAGAATGGATGAATGGATAACTAGAATAATAAATGCAGAGAAGACCATAAAAGAACTGATAGAGATGAAAGCCATGACACGAAAACTACGTGAAAAATGCACAAGCTTCAGTAACTGACTCGATCAACTGAAAGAAAGAGTATCAGTGATTGAAGATGAAATGAATGAAA